ACCCAGGAGGTCCACAGCCTTCAAGAAGCAGTTGAACGTGCAGGGGCAAACATGGCCGCGCCAAGGCTCCGCATCTGCAACCGACGACCTGCAGTCAGTGGCTCAGGATACTGCATCTCAACCCAGATGGAGGGCGATGGGTGCGAAATTGGGCTTTCGTGAGCTTCGTAACCTGCCGAATAGTAGCCGTAGCAGCTGACATGCAACGGATCGCGTATCATATCACATCAATTGTTGTGATGTTGAACCTTGTCCGTTGTGCGGTGGCGCTCTTCTGGCTTGTTCCGCAGGCATGCCCCAGGTGAGTAATTTATTTTTGGTCCCCATATCCCGGCCCACCCGGGAAGCGCGCAGGTGTGCCTGCTAAATTGTCCGCACAGAAGATATCTTACTATATTATTATATGTATCTGGTTATTTATATATGGATGAAAACCTCGTGTGGTGGACGGGTACGCCCTGCAGGGGGGTCGCCCAGTTACGTTGCACCATGGTGCGTTCGTATTCTCGCCAATCCTCCAGTAGAACAGGTGTATCGCCCATCGCCGGTGGTTCTGAGCCTGGCCTTTAATTCAGGAAAACCAAAAAAGAGCCGCGTTGCTGTTTGTCTGTAGCTGGATTGGCCTTGTTCCGGTTGTCACTTGTCCCACAACACCAAGAAACACAAGCGGACGGCTGCTATCCTCCCGTTTGTTCTAAAAAAATAAAAAAGAAGAATGTTAAAAAACATTCATTCATGGGGTAGCCTGAGAGTACTTGTGAGGCTCACGGCTAACGTCGACGTGCAAGGTGTTGCCACTTTCGTCTTAGTTTGGTCACAACATCCCTAGTCCACTTCATCATCCAAACATAGCACACACGTTCTTCCCTCTTGTCATCTAGAACAATCATATGCACAAAATGCTATTAACTTATGATTTGTTGATTACAAGCAGTCACAGCTAGCACTTAGTGGCTTTTTTGGCAGTCACCATTCGTTTGCTGGCAGGAAAACCAAAAAGAGCAGCGTTGCTGTTTGTCCGTAGCTGGATTAGCCTTGTTCCCGTTGTCACTTGTCCCAGAACACCAAGAAATACAAGAGGACGATATCTGTCCTCCCGTTTGTTCTAAAGAAAATTTAAAAAATATTTTAAAAAAACATTTATGCATCGGGTATCCTGAGAGTACTTGTGAGGCTCACGGCTAACGTCGACGTGCAAGGTGTTGCCACTTTCGTCTTAGTTTGGTCACAACATCCCTAGTCCACTTCATCATCCAAACATAGCACACACGTTCTTCCCTCTTGTCATCTAGAACAATCATATGCACAAAATGCTATTAACTTATGATTTCCTGATTACGAGCAGTCACAGCTCGCACTTAATGGCTGTTTTTTGCCATGCATCATTCGTATCCTAGAGTTGACAGCATTGACTCGGTTACTGGTGACCCTTAATCTTACTTTTCTGTCAGGTTGACGTAGACCTCAGTTAAGCTACGATTCTTATCAATTAGCTGAGAAGCTGTTGCTTGTCCGCTTTTTACTTGTCCACTGTCACCGCTCACATTAACCCCTCTTTCTGCATGACGCTTTGGTGGGCAAAAAAACCGTCCGTTCTCAACTGGTCCAAGAGCTAGCCTCCCTTCTAGCTACCTCGACGACAGAGTTTTCACCTTCCTAAAACTAGGCACCTACTCTGGCTTCTAGATCAACAAACGTATGTACCTTTCTTGGGTCCATGTAGCTTGCTCTCATCCCTTTTCAGATTTTTTATCGACGCCGTTGTATCTTATGCCTCCTGACAGCGGCCACG